AATTTGAAACCATGTTGATAAATATAATATTGCTAAACTAAAACAACTTAATTTTTCTATTGCTAAGATAAAAACTGTGTATAGTGTGCTAGTGTTAGAAATGCATCTTCCTAAACAACAAACAATCTTGAATCTATAATTGTTAGACAAAATTATTTTCATATGATGATGAAAGATAAGCCTCTGATGAAAAATAAAACCTTAAACTTAATATATATCCCACTAAAAAAAAATACAAATAAAAAGAAAACAAATGTTTTTTATTAAATTAACATTCATAATTTATTTAGAGTTAAGTATTCAAAATTGTATATATACTATCAAAAATAAACTAGTTCATTTTTTTCTAAACAATACTAGGTTATTATAGACCAGTTGAATAACCTTGTCAAAAAACTATAGTATTCATAGTTAACATAAATAATGGATTAAAACATAATAGTACAAATAAATTTGTAAGATTACAAAGTAAGTACCAAGTGATTTCTTACTAGAACTGATATATAGAGTACTAGTATAATCAATATAGAATACTAATTTCCTACTCATTTAAACAATTCAAGTATCTATTATATAGTAAAATTTTTTATAATTTTATAAACTTCTGTTTTTGTTAGTTTTCTTTTTTATATATAATTTTTAATTGTTTTTAATAACATTTATTTGTTTATTTATTTTTTATTAGTTTATCAGTTTTGTTACCTTAATTAGTTTCATCACCTTTTATCAGTTTTATTATTTTGATATTTAAAATTTTAATTGATGAAAGATGAAACTAGGTTTTGCATTTTGTCAACACAAAACCTCACAGTTTTATTTAACAACTATACTTGAACCTATTTTATTTCTATTTGTTTGTGCTTGTGTAATGCTCACATTTAATCTCTAAACCAATCAAGAATTAGTTAATAGATCAATATATAGTTGTTAATATTATATATAAATTGGAAAGAATGTCTTCTTAGCTTCCTACAGCAATTTTGATTAATATAAACAATTACTAGGTTTAACACTATCTATATCAATCCATCATCAATTAGTACCAAGTAGACCTATTAAATATACTTGGAAAGGAAAATCAGAAACTTGTTCCTGCATGCAGTTTTCTTTGAACTTGCTTGGGCAATCACAATTTTAACATTACTACAAGCCATAATAAATCTTGTAATAAAGAATTTGCAACAGTTTTACATTTGTAAGTGTATCAAAGATTTGAACTATTACTGATATTCTTTTGATAGAGTATTTTCCTTTGACAGATTACAAAAATTAGAGCAAAATGCATGTTTACAGCAAAGGTTAAAATTTACTTTCTTTGTGAATTTACTATAAATATGATATGTAATAGCAATTTATATTATGAATAAAATATGCAATAGCTATTTATATTAAAAATATGATATGTAATAGCAATCTATAAAATTCAAATATATTTTAAGTTTAATTCTAAAGTATAAGGACTAGGAATTAAGGCTCCAACCCACAAAACGTCTCCGTTTTTCTAGTTATATAGGGAGCAAATAAAGACAATTTTTGACTGCTCGTCCAAATGGTATTCGTATTTCTCACACAGAAAGAAGAGGAAATTTATGGTGGATATTTTCAAATAAGTTACGAATACCATTGTTATAATACTCAAGTGTCACGATACATAATGTGATTGTAACAAACTGGTTTACAATATATCGTTAGGCAAAAAAAAAAATTATTTTCTCTATCACTTTGTCTTTTATAAGACATTAATAATTACGTCATTCTCATATAATATTCCTATTAAATTTATACGTACTTTTAAGTTATTACAGATTCGCCGATAACATAACTGATAATATCTCATATGATTGTTAAAACCGTTTTTTTTTTTTAGGGTGGGTCAATAAAAATGGGTTAAGTAGGTCAAAAAACAATGTTTTTGTCTATAGATTCATAAAAAAAAATTTTCATTGAATTTGATCAGTGGTCGCTGAGATATCTTCGCTCTGCTCAAAGTTTTAAGAAAAGGCGAGTTTGGTTTTTTTTTTTTTTTTTAAAAAAAAAAAAAACTTTGAGCAAAGCTATCTCAATAACCAACTGAGACGAATTTAATTCTATAGATTCATAAAATTCAAATAAAAAAATTTTTTCTTCGAATTTGATTGAGACATCTTCGCTAAGAATAATTTATCGCAGCATCTATTTTGATAAACATTGACATTTTTTTAAAAAAACTTTGAGAGATTAAATTCGACGAATTTTTTGAATTTTATGAATCTATAAAATTCAAATAAAAAAAAAATTTATCGAATTTGTTTAGATGGTTTCTAAGAAATCGCAAACAATCACGTACAATTACATACAATCGATTGCAATCGATTGCACAAATTTTATCAAAAGTCACATCAATTTGTCAAATAACGATAAATCAACTATGAGAGTGAAATCATTAATCGATGAGTCAAAAAGTGTCTGGGAATAAATATTATTTAGCAAAAATATTTTAAGCGGGTTAATTGTTTATCATATAATGGATATTTAGATAACATTTGCAACTTAATAAAACTTTTTGCATAATTCAATTTTTTTTTTTTTTAATGAATAAAAAATATTGAATTTATGATTTGTGCAAATAGCTGGTGGATGCTTGAATTGTGACAATTTGGCCTTATAATAACTGAAAAAATTTCATCTGAACCTATCACAATCTTCATATAGTCATTTCAATTAACAACTACTTTACAGCATACCATCTTTTTTTATTCCTTACTTGACAAAATTTGCAATTAAGCATGCAAATTATATTTCATACATAATGCATAAATCATTTTCATTAAAATCTTCAGCATTGGTTGTCAAATTGATAAATTCTTGTCTGCACATATAGGCCGCAAAAAGAATTCATATTTAAAATTTGAAATCTAGAATGATGTAAAGAATTGTATTAATTAATTAATAATAAATCTCAAATGTACATGTAACATTGCTCACAAAATAATATAGTATTAAAATCAGTTTTTAACAATAATACAGTGATATCATACAAATAGATTATGTGATAGTTTTATTACATTTTTGATATTATATTAGTTTGATATTGTATTAGTTTGATATTGTATTAGTTTGATATTGTATTAGTTTGATAATGCTTTAAGGATTTATGATATTGCTAAAAGAAACTAATGTATTCTATTATGAAACGATAAAATTCTTTGAGAAAATTAATTATCAAATTGATTCATTCGAAAACAATTTTAAATCTGAATTAAATTGTACGCGAATAAAAGAAAAGATTAATATAAAATTCGATACGTACATAAATTTAAGAAACTAAGTAAAATTAAATTTAATTAATTCGAGGAGAAATTCTAACTTTCAATTCCTTAGTAGAATTACTCGGTAAGGCAACAATTTTCAATGGTTCATTCATATTCACCAACTCAACATTATAATATCTATAAACTAATGCCATCAACAAAAGTGTCTCACCCATTCCCAGCTTTCTTCCAGGGCAGATTCGTGGACCCCCACCAAAAATCATCAATGTATATTTATTTTCTAATTTTTTTTCATAATCTTGTTCGACATTATAAAATCTTTCTGGATCAAAAACTTTAGGATTAGGCCAAACTTCAGGGTGATTATGTACCCCTATAAAATTTATGTGAAACGATGTACCAGCAGGCCATTTGTATCCTGTAATTTCGTATTCTTCAGTAGAATAACGAGTCCCAGTATTTCCTATTGGTACCATACGACTGGCTTCTTTGACTATGGCTTCACAATATTTTAGCTTTAAGAGATCATCACTTGTTAGATAAGATTTATTTGAAAAGACTGAGTCAATTTCTGAAATCATTTTTTTGTTTTACATTTGGATGTTTACAAACATAGTAGGTTACATAACAAAAAACGTTAGCGATCTAAATATAGACAAACAGATATCAATAAATAAGTAAATAATAAGAAGTAAAGTTATAAGCAATTAGATAAAAAAAAAGATAAGATATTTATTACTTACACTACCTGCTCCACCTTCGAATGCATCTAACAAATTACCTCTGATCGTTTCATCGGTCATAGGCTCAAAAGTCTCACCGCCTACTGTTTTTGCAATAGCTGTATCCTTTTCAGTGTTTGCAATGATTAAGGATGTTAACATATCGGTTCTCATTTCTATACCTGCTGGCATTTTTTCAATCTCTTTTCTTCTCTTTTTTACTTCAGTTTGTTTTGTGGATCCTTTTCTATGCAATTAACTCTTATTACTTATGACAAACTTTTTATTGAACAGATATCTATTCAAAAATCAAATAATCCAATTTTTTAAAAAATTGTAAAATGGGTTGTTTTAATATGTAGTACCTTATATTTAATATATTTTATGCCTGACAAAAGCTATAAGAATTTACAAGGATGAAATAACATCGTAAAATAAAATTATTTTTTTTAAACAAATGAATTTATGCTAGTATGTATGTATGTATTTATATTTTATGTCGATTCATGACTTCTGTCAGTCTTAAATTAACATGTGTAACTTTAAGATTTATACTGATCGGAATATGGCATATGTTAAAATAAATTTATTAATTTTGTTCAAACTCCTATCAGGCGAAAAATAAGAACCGCAATAAAACAGAAAGTAAAACAAAAACGCTAATATAATAAACTTTTAAATTGCATAAACTATATAATTACAAATATATAAATAATAAAGATAATTTTAATAGTTTTTTTTTTTATTTCAACTTCTTTATTTCAATATGACTTCAAATAATTCATTAGTTTACACATTTATTTCACCTCAAACCTTTGAAAAAATAGTTAATGACTATGAATAATCATAAAATGAAAGACATATAATGAATCGCTCAAAATATAATCGTTGTTTAACTCTCTTACGAAATCCTTCAAGAACACATGAAAATCCTAAATTTAAATACTGGGTTCTTCATACATTTATAGTTGTAAAAGTTGGGATAATTGAGGAATTAAATCTTAAAACAGAAAATCAGGATGGGTGTATGTTTGGAATTTTAGATAAGTGGTATCCAGCCAATGAATTAGAACAATTAGGTACTAACGAATTTCCCGCACTTGATATTATTCCTCTTGGTACTTTCATTTCTCTAAGAAATGCTGGGGCACAGCAAAGTTTGACACAACCATTACATAAAGTTAAAAATAATTCAATGATTCAAGAAGCAACTGAAGTAAGAAACAAGGAATCTTAACACAACTGCTGCCATTGCAGCAAAACAAATTGTAAGACCAAAAGTTGTTCATGCCATAAAAATAATGCACTTTGTACTAGGCATTGCGGCTGTGTGTTGCAAGGTGAATGCAACAATCATTAATATTAATATGAACGATACTACTTAGAATTAGAATTCTTGGCAGTTTATTTTTCATAAGAATTATGCATTGTCATCATAGATAGAATTCAATTATTGTAACTTGAATTTGTTCAATTTTACTAGTAAACTATTTGAAAAAAATGGTTGTTAACCATATAGTGCTGGAATAAATTTCAAAATAAAAATATGTTGTTCATTATGTTGTTTATTTTTTATATTTTTTATTTTTTTTTTACATTTTTTTTTTTATATTTTTTTTTACATTTTTTTTTTTTTACATTTTTTTTTTTGTTTTTATATTTTTTTATATCTTTTAATCGGTATCATAATCGTTGACAACATACCGATTATTATATAACATATGAAAAATTCTGATTTCAAAATGACTTATGTCAATTCAGAATTAACATAAATTCCTAAGCGACGTATAACATTTATACTTATAGTATTTTGTCTTCTTTTAGAAGAAATTTACTAATTCTTGCAAAATTTAATTGCTAGGCTTATTAATGTGGCACGATTATGATGTTAAGTACAGTATACTTAGTGTTGGAAAAAATTCGCATTTTATAATAACATGCGTATGAGTCGCATTAATGCACACTTTATATAAAATGCTCATGGCATCTCATGATATAATTTTTGGAATTTATATTTTTCCATCGAAAAATATCAGATACGTGTTCAAATTTTTACTCCAATCTTGCTCTTCTTTTATGTTCATTCATTTCTTTTCGGAATTTTTCGAGACTTTTGCATCCATATTCCTTAATTCCCTCTGACATTACGCTCCCTGGCCTAAATTATATATACTTTAATATTCCTATATAAAATTTAGATGGGATAAATCGCGCATGATTCTGAAACATGCGCATTAATGCGCACGATTAAGGAATTATGCGCACGCTTGAAACCCATCTCTATGTATTCTATATATAAAAGGCCATAATTTTTTTCTTTTAGCTTGCATAATTTCTAAATAATACTTATTAATTGTAGAGAAATAATTCGTGGATATGCCGGAGAGTAAAGCACTGACTATTTAAAGTTGTTAATTTTGGTTGTGAAAAAACAATATCGTTGTATATAAAATTAACAGTATTCGATGCACTTTCATTTTGCTTTAGAAAAGTAATTTTACAATATAATTATTGGGAATTCGATATTGATTGGCTTTGATGTATAAGCAAGAATATTTTTTTAGAATATATTCCTTCTTAATAATATTATAAATAAATATTTACTTGAAGTTTTTGCTAAAATTGTGAAATTTATACAATATTCATTGATTTTAACATTTTAATATCATAGAACATATATATATATATATATATTTAAAATGAGTACTATAATCACTATCACTATCATACGTCAATCAGCATGACTCATCTATTCTATAAACAAAAATAATTTTAATTTTAGAGTAACTCTAAATCCGCTGATATGTAATGTAGTATTATGATTGCCTTCCATAATGTTTTATTTGTGCAATTTTGAGGAATTCCTTTCCTTTTTAATCGTCATTTTTCATTATTTATAAATACAACTATTCCCCGATAAGCAAAAAAAAAAAAAATTTTTGAGCGCAATTTAGTTTGAACAGCGCTTCCATTCGTTAGATACCTTCTACAATCAACCAAAAAGGTTTAGTTTTGATTTTTTTGACAAAATAATTCAATCTTTTCGGTCATTTAATATATATATAACTCAAGATGGCTATTCAAAAAATTATCGAAGTCCTTAGTATCACAGATTATTTCCTCTTTCTTGTCTTAATTTTTGCTACCTATGTTTTTAACTTTTATTATAAATATATAACTCGCCCCA